CCTGGCCTACTGTGTTCCTCCAGCTCCACACTGTATTGTCTCTAATTCATAGCTGAATGCTTTAAAACAAGAATCCCCTTGATTTGACATAAAAATTCCATTGTAATTTTTAAATAATTTAATTTCTAGAATTATCAGAAAATAATTTCAGAGCTGTTAGATGTACTGATAGTTAAATTTCCTTTACTTTTTGTAGTAATACAAATTATTTCGTGTATATTGAAAAGTTCTCTAAGAACACATTCATTTGGCAACATTGTAATACAACAATTTCTCATAATCTCAGGAGTTCTTGAAAAACCTTTAGAAAAAAAAGCTGGAAGAAATTACGCTCCTGCAGGCACAAAAAGATTGATCTATTTTATTGATGATCTTAACATGCCTGAAGTAGATGCCTATGGCACTGTCCAACCACATACTCTAATCAGGCAACATTTAGATTACAGCCATTGGTAAGTGTCTCCTGTTACAGTTGGTGTGTTATTTTTAGTGAAGCTTACAACGCTGATAGTATTAGGAAGGAAAAATGTCATGTTTAAATGTTTTAAAACAAAGCTACCTAAAAATAGCCAAGCTAAGTTTTTCATACTGAGTAAATGATATGCACACATTGTTTGGGCAAAGTATGTGTATTTATCACCAAAAACATACTTCTTTAAGCAATTCAGGCATCAGTATAAATATGCTACTGCTTATATTGCAACATCTCTGTTGGAGAATGAACCCATTGTGGCCATTGGTAATGCTATATTACGTGGTCTAACCACATTCAAAATTTGATGACTGACATCAAGAAAAAAGCTTTCTTTTTTAAGATGCAGAATTTGTTTTTGCCAAACACTTCAGCAAAACTGACAGAGTACAATTTTTAAAGTGATCTTGCCATAAACAGTACTGAAATGTTGAACCTTCTCAGCATGTAGCTGGATTACTCAGTATGTGAAATTTTCAAACAATTGAACCATTTGTTGTGAAAATGAGCATTCTTACAGCTGTATTCTGATTTAGCCATTTTTGTTCGGGGTAGTGAAAGCATTCATTCTAAATACCATTTGAAACTTGGATTAATCTGATATGGTAACTGTAAGAAGTTAAAATATACTGCAGTGTGGTAAAGATAAAGTGTGGTAAAAATGATAAAGAGGAAAATGTTGGGAAAATCATTCTTTGAGATGTTAAAAATTGACATTCTTATCTCTTCTTCATTAGGTATGACAGACAAAAGTTAGCTTTGAAAGAGATTCATAATTGCCAGTATATTGCTTGTATGAATCCTGCTGCTGGCAGCTTTTCGATTAATATGCGTCTTCAGGTAGGAACAGTTTATTGCTTTTAAGAATACTTCTATTTGTATTAGGACGTACAAGAAAGCAAGGACAAGAGAAAGCAACTTTGCCTTTTGTAATCTGCCCTTTTATTATTTTGACTAATTCAGTGTAACATCCATTTGACATATGGCTTATCCCATGGGTGATGTCGTCAAACAACTTTGTGGCTCTTCTGCCAGACTCTTTTGAACAATGGTCACTATTTTAGCAAATAGTTTTCTTCTGTATTGCAGCTGCATTTTTCATTAATTCAAATGTAATTTGAATAGTCCAATTAGTTTGAGTTACCTTAAAGCAATTTCCTCATTTCACCTACAAACTGTTTTTTGGGCGACAATTATCTCAGCCCCATCATATCACTGCAGGAGTTCCTGAGAAAATCATCCTACGGTCAACCATCTTCAGCTGTTTCATCCATGATCTTCCCACCATTGAAAGGTCGGAGGTATTTACTGATCTTTCCAATATTCATTACCGCTGTTAACTCCATTGACAATGGATCAGTCTGCAACTGTATGCAACTAGATATGGACCTCAGTTAAGGCTGGGCAAATAAGTGACAAGTAACATTGCTTAGCAGTCTTTGGTGACAATGATCATCTCCACTAAGAAAGCTGCATATTACACACTCTTGATGTGCAGCAACATTACCTTGGCTGAATCTCCAACAATCGACTATTCTGGGGATTCTTAAAAAGAAACTTAAATGGACCAGCCACATAAATAGCAACAAGTCAGAGGCAGGGAATTCTATGGCAAGTAACTCCCTATGCCATTCCAGGCCAAAGCAATACACGTGATTACCATAATGTTCAAACCCTTGACCCTACAAGAACAAGGGCAACAGATGTGTACAACCCCATCACCACCTGCATGTTCCTCACTAAGCCTCCCACATCGTTACTTGGAACAACAATATAGTTCCTTCAACTATTGCTGGGTCGCAGTTTTGGAATTCCCTTCTGAAGCAGACTGCGTGCATACAAACACAACATAGACTGAAGCAGTTCAGGAAGGCAAACCATCAGTTGGATAATAAATATTGGCCTTATCAATGATTGCCATATCCTTTGAATGAATGAAGAAAAAAAACATACTTCTAATATATAAACCTCCCAATAGATTTCCGCCTTGATTTTTTTTTCCTGCCTTCACAGTTCAGCAATAACTTTAATAATTTTTCTTCACAAATCACATTTTAATAGTTGGAATCACTTTTGTCTTTAGTTCCTCCTTATATCTTATCAATGCACATATCTTCCGTCTGCTGCATCATGGCCAAACTTGCACAGAAACTTGACCTGACTAGTGTGTTATAAAGTCTCGGAGAACGTGTATGCTACCGCTTCTATTCTAATATTGTACTTGCTCTGTGAAAAAGCATAATATTTTCTTCTAAACAAATCCATGGTCATGCACTAAATTACCATTTTCTTTGCTGATATTGAGCACTTCACCCTGGGTCCTTCACTCTCATCAGTGCCTGCAAGTCTCAATGCCTATTAACTGTGTTTGTGTTTTTTCAAGTGGAGGGATAGTTTCAGCATCATTGTATGAGTGCTATTGTAATGGGGTTGTTGGACATTGGATTGCCTTTGATCTATGAAAAGAGCAGAGACACATCATGCATATGTAGGGTTGGATTTTTACACCCTGCAACTGACAGTTTTGAAGGCGGGGGCATGTAAAATTTAGCAGGTGGCTGTCTAAAATTGTAAGAGCTGCGTGATCTTGGGCTAATTGAGATCCTTAAGTCTCTAATTGTTGGCCATTTAACAGTTTCATTCTGCTCCCCCATTGCTATTTTACCTGCAGTAGGGGGGAGGCCAATACCATGCAGCTTTTATTACGTGGGCTGGTGTCAGTCAAGAGGTCAGAGATCTTCTTTTTAGAAGTAATGTCTCAACTACCCCCACCCCCATCTCCATCCCCACTTGCATTCAGCCCCTCCTTCCTAGCCCCTCGTGAATCCAGACCCCGGCCCCTTCAACCTCCTCACGGGACTTGACTCCTCTAAGGCAGGACTTCTATTAAATCAAAAAAGTTGGAAGTAGTTTTCAGGACAAATGCTATGAGTACAAACTTTACTCATAGGCAAGCTGACAGCTGTTTCTCCAGCTTGCAGACCTTTCACGTTCATTGCTGTGTTTTCACACTTTTGACCCTGGTGAATTCCACACAGCTTCGGAAATCCTGTTAAAACCAGAAGTCTGCACAAAATCCACAAGTAATTGATCATTTGGTTATAGTTAAGTTACTAAACCAACAGCTCCGTGTAGCATTGCTGCTCATCTCAACTATCCTCCGGTAAAACCAGAAGTTCGAAGATCATGTTGGGCTACTGACCTGCCAGCACTTTTCTGCTTGTGCCCCTCATCAGTTAAGAATTTGCCTTAAATACCTGTTACTTTCTATGTCTGCAGATGGACATTTGCTGTGAAATCAATTTAACCATGGCTTCATGAAACTTGTGGTGTGAGTTTGCTTCCAATGGGAAGTTTTACATGAAGCGGCAATGCTTATGCTTTGTTCTGTAATATAACAAACTAGGCATGGATATTGGTATTAGAGAATTCAAAAGACATTTTTTACATTTGTTATGTGCAAACAGTCTATTCTTCAGACATTACTAACTATGCTAGTATTAGCTATTAGTTTGTCCACCATCTGCAAGTCACAAATCAGGAGTGTGATGGAATACTGTCACTTGCCTGGACGAGTGTAGCTCCAACAACACTCAAATAAAACACTGGATACCATGCAGGACAAAACAGCACTCTTGATGGGCACCACATCAACCATGTTTAACGTGGACTCCCTTCACCACGGGTGCACAGTAGCAACAGTGTGTACTATTGGCAAGATACACTGAGTAATTCACCTAAACATCTCCATTGGCACCTTCCAAGTCCCTGACCTCCTCCACCCAGAAGGATAGGGGGAACATGGGAACATCACCACCTACAAATCCCTTTCAAGCCACGTACCATCCTGACTTGGAGACATTACTCTTCCTGCACTGTTGCTGGGTGAAAAAATCTGGATCTCTTTCCAAAAAGCACTGAGTGTCCCTATGCTCCAAAGAAGGCAACAGTTCAAGAAGGCATTGCATCACTGCCTTCACCAGGCAGTTAAGGATGGGCAATATTTGCTGGATTAGTCAGTGATGCCCACATCCAATGAGCAAATTTTGAAAAAAAGACAATAGTGTAGCATGCTTTCAGTAAAGTGTCATGCTTCTAGTGATCAGACATAAGAGGAATGTGAGATTTTTATACTGCCAGGTCACTTTTCTTTTAAATGTATACTGACATACTGATGGTGGCATATGACATAACACCCTGCTTCTTCAGAAGATAAAAGCTAATCCCAAAAAAGATATACAAGCTTGTACTTAGGTACTTGTGCTGTACTTGTAATTACATGAACAGATAAAACAGAATTTACAAAACTAGCTTTTCAAACTTCAGTGTAATTACTTGAAGTTTGACAACCAGAGAGGTACATGTGCTGTTCTTTGTTGTTCTTGCTTGATGGCTTGGTTGTTGTTACTCAACATCATTATCATTGCAGTGTTTTTCCTCACTCACTTTGTGCATGTATTATCTGTTGTACATTGGTCTGAGCTGACCGCTTTCCTTCACAATGTAGCATTGTGATCAGGAGTGATTTTGTATGACTTAGGATGATTGCAAATTTTAGAATCCTTTGTTGATGTACAGATTTTTCACTTTGGACTTCTGGCTTGCACACACTGCTCGGTTCACAATTTTTGTAGCTCCCTATCTACTTGCTCATTGTGCATTTCTTTCATTTTCCTCTGTCTTTGAAGAGGAATGTCTTGTGTTTTGGAATTAGACAGTTGGTTGCTGGGCCAGGTTGATCACACTTGCCTTCTGAGCATATGTTGTGCTGGGAATTTGGACCAAACATGTAACATAGGAACAGGAGTGGGCCACTCAGCCCACCATTCAATGAGATCTTTGTTGATGTATGACCTCACTCCGTTGATGTATGACTTCATTCCATTGATGCCCAACTCCCCCATCCAAAAATATAGCAAGGAGGTCACCTAGACCCTAACTTTTTTATATTTATTTAAAGACATACGTAAGGTGCTACAGATGTAACTTGACTGGTCCACTACTAGGCTTTAAGCAAAACACACTTTATTCTTACAACACAGTTAAAACACAAAAAAATGAAAAATTGCCATAAATTCAACTCTGTTGAAATGCTTAACAAGATAATGTATTATTTAACCACAAATCATCAATTGTTCCAATATAGACAGCATCCCATTAACAAAACCTTTGGCAAAATTGCAATTCACCAAAAAGTTAGGATTCTCATGCTGTCCTCCCTAGTCCAGCCAAAAGAAATACAGTACTGGAAAAACAATCTGCTTTTTATTTCTAAAAGGAAGCCTTTCGTTTTATGACTTCAGTCCAGCAGCTTCAGACTCCAGCTTTTAGCTCAGCAGCCAGCTGAAGTCTTCAGCTAACTGAAAGCAAAACTTAAAAAACCTTTCTCGGTCTCTGTGAGCCTTGACCCCACTCGCTCATGATTCCTTTTGTCTCATTTTAAACAAACAAACCCAGGGAGAACTCCAAAACTGTTTACCAGCTGCCTGGCTGAAGGACACAGTTCAGCTCCACTGTGGCAACACCATCTGCAAGAGAAAGCATTGCACACATCTCTCTTAAAGGCACAATACCATCACATAACACTTAATGATCATTGTTTTATCCATGCTTATCGTATTATATGCTAAACTATTTGACTGAGGATAATGGGGTGATGCTGTGATATGGATCACTCCCCACTTAGCGCACACATCCTGAAATGGTCTACCAATGTGCTGCAGACCATTGTCAGAAAGTATTTGATTCCAGACAGCTAACAAACTGAAAATAGCACTCATAGTGTCAGCAATGGTTGTGTTCAGTGTGTTGATAAGTCACTGAACAATGAAAATTTCAGAGAAGTAATTCACCACAAAGAGTGTATTCTTCCTGTGCACTGTGAATAGGTCTGTTGTTACTTTCATCGAAGGAGTGGATATACATAGAGGCTCCCACCAATGCTACAGCTGATATGGTGAACATTTTCACATGCATTCATGAGTCATTGCATATACTGATTTATCCTTAATTCGTGTGTTAGCTGTGTGTTCAATACCCATGTGCCCCTGGTGTAAAATGGACATGATATCTTACCGTAATTGTTTTAATATCAAGACTTGTTTGCCCTTGAAAATGCCACAATGTGACATACCAAGTTAGTGTCTAGATGGTCGAAATGAACAAATCTCTGTGAAACTTTTTAAACTTTTGTGAATGCTCATCTTCCATAATTATCGATTACAACTGTTCACACCGGCACTCGTCAAAGTGTAACCAATTAACTTTGAGAACTTATTCCACTTCGTAGTTTAGAGGATGAACATGTAGATCAAGATGAATATATTGGTCTTTGTGTGGATTGAATAATCTGCCCAGCATGTCTGATGTAATCATTTTTGTCTCTGGCTTGTATCTCTCTTCAAAATCATATACTTGGAGATTGTTATCTGATTCAACTTTGTCAAGTGTGGGTTGTTCTGCCACAGTGGGTGTAGTTTGAACCTCATGAATTGTGATTATGATGAGACCTGTGCCACTGCTGGAAGTTGGTATCTGCTAGGTAGATTTCAGGAAGCCTAGATGAGCTTGTGTATTGGCATGGTAGCGTGATTCTGCCAATACAAGAAGTTAGTGATCTGTGATACACTGTGAGACAGTCCAGGAGCATCATAAACTGGCTATGGATACCATGGTATTGAGGAATCCAATAGACATTTATAACAACTACCCATTGCATACAAATATTACATTTCTCAGGCACATAATTATCTGAGTTAATACTAAGCTATTAGTTTATAACGGTGATTCATGCTTCAAGTGATCTGAGGTAAGATGAAGTCACATGTTATGATGCAATGATGATATGAGTATTTCTCTTAAAGGTATACTGACAACTGCCAATGAAATGTAAAACAACAACTTGAAGGCCAGTCTTTTGCCTCTACAGATTGCCATTCTATTTCCTTGGTGGTTCATCTACATTATGTGGACAAATTAAGACAAATCTGCTAAAGTCCAGAGATCTTTTAACTTATCTCAATGTTTCAACACCATTTCCTAAAGGAATCAACCTTAAAATTAGTGTTAGGTTCTGTAGGGCCTTCCTCAGCAGAAAAAAAAGTATTAAAACATTATACCTGTACCCTGTGAAATGAAATATAGTACTTTAAATGCCAAATTCCTACATTGGAAAATTAAATAGTTGTTAAAATAAAATAAATTAGAAAGGAAAAATGTAATATCCTACTTCCAGTATCTCCTGCATTTGATCTTCTGAGAGTGGAGCTAGTGGGGGGCATCTGCTTGGGATCTACTCATGGCAGGGATGGGGGTGAAGAGACATTTCTCAATGAGTTGTGGGCTGCCAGTTAAGACCATTCCTTGTTCCTGGCCACTCCATGGCTAATGTCTGGTGGTACCTTTACTGGGGGTCTGCAGTGCACTTCTTGCTGTCTGTCACCACCTCTGGGGTCTACTCAGGCCATTGTTTGGTGAGTCTGTGCTTCTTGGCTGTGTCTGCTTTGCTCCTTCTCCCACTCCGCCTGTAAGTGGGATGTCAGTTGTGGTTGGGCATGGTGGCATTTCCTGTCCTGTCTCCCTGTCTCACCCTACAGTTCAGGTCAACAATATGGGGCTCCTTTCACTGGATCATAGTTTGCTGTTTTTAGGAAGTTGAAGATGCTGCAGAGTTTTGTTCCAGCTGAGGTGATGGAATTTGGTGGCTCTCCTGTAGCCTTCTGTTGGCTGTGGATGGCACTGTTCTACATGGATCTCGCTGTTCCAGTAGCAACTTGTGGAAGGGAGCAGAGAAGTGGAAAAGTGAGGCTGGGGGCAGAGAGGAATGGTAGTCAGGTGAGAACAGAACAGGATTTTGGGTAGATGAAGTGGGACACCACGAGAGGAGAACTGGGGTGAGAGAGGGATGGACGAGGGGAAGAGAACAGAAGAAGGGAGCTTGGCTGCTGAACTGAGCAATGGCCAATGTCCAGTGGCAAATAGTTGATGTTGGGGTTGGAGTGACCGCCAAGCACAGCACTTGACCTTCAGCATGTTCTGTGGGTAGTGGTGGCCTATGTGGCCTCTTGGGGTGGGGGCACAAAAAGGGGCACAGATGGCACCTTTAGCAGGCAGTCTGGGACCTGGTGGGTGGAGGTTCCTTGGTGAAGACCTTAGTCAGGGATGCAGCGTGTGTAGAAGGTGCATGTGGAATGGCCTCATGTCTGAGAGAAAGGGGTCTGTCCAAAATGGCACCATTCGGTGTCAGGTAAGTAGTTGAGCTCTGTACATGATGCTAATCTGAATTGGAAACCTGTCCATTTTTACTTTATAATTTTTAAATCATTCGAGAATGATTTTTTTAATTGTTTTACTCATATGACCACAGCTTTCCCTTGACCTAGAATCTGAGCAATCCCATGATGCTTGCCTCAATTTAAGAGTCATTGCTTAGGGCATTGCCAAATTTGCTCCTTGGGTATGACAACAATGTCTTTGCCACATCCTATACGCGCTGATCGGTAGCAGGATGCTGTGACCACAATGGATACTGAAACCAATAATGATTATGAAGCTCTACATAAAGAGGGGTTTCTAGATGTCAATCCAAAATTCATAGCATTCTTTATTCTGAAGATCATTTAAACTTAGATCTTCTCATGAGATATTTGATGTATATGAACATTGGGTTAATTTTTTCAAATAAATGTCCAATAAATCCCCCCCACTTTTATCTGGATTTATCACAACAGTTTGTCTCTGAAATATAATGAACATAACCTATGGAGATATGTGTAAACTTTGACTGTCTACAACAAATTAAGAAAGACTATAAATTATACTCAGTTTTTGAGAAAATCTTCTGTAACATTCCCATTGCAGACTTTAACCCCCTTTGTTCCCTAAGTGAATTTGTTTTGGTAGGTCTTCTACATGCTATACCAATCTCAAATCAAAAATGTGAATCCAAGTACCAGTATATATTTGGTTGATGTTTATTTATCCAAAGTTCTACTAAATAATATTATTTTGCATAGGACCAGATTACCAGGTTTTGTACAAAAAGGAAAAATATGCAGGTCTATGGGGAAACTGCAGGGGAATATGATTAATTAGGCAGCACTTTTAAAGAGCTGGACGTGCACAATGGGTTGAAAGACTGTCTTCTGTAGTGGTTTAGACTACTTCACTAAACATCTCTACCTGTGGGGAAATGTTAAGGTATTCACAATTATTATAGCTACTTCACAATGGTAAAGAAATCTTAATGACAAAGCAGAAACATTGGGAACACTTTCAAGAACTACAAACAAATTTTATCCACTCAACCTTCCTTTCAAGAGCATGATTAACCATCAAGACAAATTCTGTTAAAAATAACGCACACAACTGGATGCATTTTCTAGAACACAAAATTTCAAAACCTCATAATTGCATTCACCTCCTCCATACTCTTTCAATGGGATCCACCTTGTAACTCTAGTTCCCTGCCTGTTCAATTATCATAGATTGTTCAGCATGAGGAATATTTCACAAAGATCTCAAACAATGAGACCAGTAACATCAAATTCTGAGTACTTGAAATCAAAATGATTATCTTCTGGAATGTGTATATTAATTTTGTAAGACCGTTTATGGTACTTTAATAATCTTGGATTTTGATTTAGCGTTTTCTTGTTTTGCAGAGACATTTCTCTGTTTTTGCAGTCAGTTTCCCTGGAGCAGATGCACTGGCCACAATATACAGCAACATTCTTGATGCTCATTTTCAAGAATATAGTTTCAGTCACAGCGTAATGAAAATTGCTAATAGTGTCGTTCAAGCTGCTATCTGTCTTCATCAGAAAATGACTCAGAACTTTCTGCCTACAGCAATTAGATTCCATTATATTTTTAACTTAAGGGATCTGTCCAACATTTTCCAGGTATGTTTACTACTTGAATATTATGAACTGTTGCTTTGATTCATGACAGTGGATGTAATCAGGTACCGTAATAATGCTTTTTCAAATAACTTATTAAAACCAGTTTCTCTCACAGAAGATTTTTAAAAGCATTTCATTCATACATAGAGTTTATATGCCAGTCTTAATACAGTTCACCTTTCCAGCAAATATTCCTTTCGCCGTCACTGTTTGTACATTAAAAATACAGATCTACTAATGAAAATACACTTAAGATGTTAGTAATCAAGTCACTATTTAGGTCATGCAAATATGACTATAATTAAAAAGTACTTCAAAGCCTGTAAAGTATTATATAAATGCAGGTCTTTATTTTTCTCTTTTAATGTTGTATACCATGATATTATTTACATCCATGCCAAAGGTTGATTATGAAGTACATGAAATCTGAAATTACACTATTATAAACCATATTATTAATTGTTTGCAATAGAGATTGAAATTATGTATTGTAATTTTTGCTGCAGGATTTATTGCCAATAAGCATTATTTCCACAAATGAAAACTATTTAAATGTCCAGTATGCCAGACTAGGAATTACAAATTAACATGATCTTCTCCCCATAACCAGACCTGAGGGAGTTCTGGCAATGCAGAGTTAGATGTTTTGCAGCAGTTAACTTTGCAACCTCTGTGTTACACCAAAAAGAATAGGCACAATCAAAATGCTCCTAGTTGTATTTTACTAGAAATGAAGATTTAGTCCTAACTGCTATTTATTTTGATAGCTTTAAAGAAATGATCAATAAATGTTCACAGAAGTATAAAAATAATTGGGTAATAATAGTAAGAGATTACAATTTCCCAGTATTAATTGAAATACACAAAGTATGAAAGGCTTAGAGGGGTAAGAATTCTTAAAATCTATCCAGGAGAGATTTTTAAATCAGTACATAGAAAGTCCTACGAGAGAGGGCAGTACTGGATCTAATTTTATTGAACAAGGCAGACACATTGTAAAAGTGTCAGTGGGAGAACAATTCAGTGTTAGTGACAAAAACTCAGTAAATTTTAAGCGAGTTATGAAAAAGGACAGCATTAGACTGAAAATCAACCTTATGAATTGGGGAAAGATTGACTTTAAAATGTAAAGACAGGACATGGTCAAAGTGGCTGTGTGCAACTACTTGTTGGAAAATCTACATCCGAGCAGTCAGAGTCATTCAAAAAGGAAATAGTGAGAGTGCAAGGCCAACATGTTCCAGTAAAGGTGAAAGGTGGGACCAACAAGTCCAGAGAACTCTGATGTCATGGAATGTACAGGAATGCATCGGGGATAAAAGGGAAACTTATTACAAATACCCAGGGGCTCAAAACAGCTAAAGCCGTAGAGGAGTACCGGAAGTGCAGAGGAGTGCATAAAAAATATGAGAGCACAAAAGGTAGGTGGGTAAAATAAAGGAAAACGTAAAAGCATTTTATAAGTATATTAGAACAATAGGATAACTAGGCAAAAGGTATTATCTGTTAGGACAAAGTAGCAATCTGTGGTATAGATGAGGTTTTACATAAGTACTTTGAATTTGTATTCACTATAGAGTAGGACAGATCATCTATAAAGATGAAGGAATGGGACTGTGATATACTTGAACAAATTAGCATGGAGTGGGGAAGGAAATATTCATGATTTTGGTGGGATTAAAAATCAATAAATCCCCAAGTCCAGATGAGATACATCCTAGGCTGTGGGAGGCAAGTGAAGAGATTTAATGAGCTAAAGAATTAATTTTCAACTTCTCCCTGGCCACAGGAGAGGTTCCAGAGGACTGGAGGGTAGGTAATGTGGTACAGTTGTTCAAGAAGAGTGTTAGGGATAAACCTATGGGTCAGTGAGTCTAACATCAGTGGTAGGGAAGCTATTGGAAAAAAAATTCGAAGGGAACAGAATCAATCTCTATTTAAGCAAGCATTAATCAAGATATTCATCATGACTTTGTGGGGGGGGAGCAGTGGGGAAGAGATCATAATTTTGTGTTTTTGAGGAGGTGACTAGGTAATTAAATGAGCACGGTGCATTTGATTTAGTCTGCATGGACTTCAGTAAGGCTTTTGATAAGGCTTCACATGACTAATCTCCCATTTGACGAAGACCCTGACAAAATTCCAGCTAGTGCTGAAGAACTTGCGCTACCCAAAACTGATGGCAACTTAGCTAAGCTACAACCCTGTCACCGACTCAACAAAGAGCAGGACAAATCAATCACCACTCCATTAGTCTACTCTCAATCATCAGCATAGGGAGATGTCTTTGATAGTGCCATTACTCACCAATAACCTGCTCACTGATGTTTGGTTCAGCTACTGCTAGGGCCATTCACCTCCCCATCACATTACAATCTTGGCCCAAATATGGACAAAGTTTGAGAGTTGAAGTGAGAGCAGTCGTTAGTCTACTTGTCAGTGCCCTTTCCCCTCTCTACCCCAGAGATCTTAAGAGTTACAGCCACTTATACAGAACATTGCCTCTGGAGTCAAAATGAAATTTTCATAGCAAAGGGAAAGGATTTCCTGTTTTATGGAAAATCTGTTTAAGAGTAATAGTGTTGTTGTATGTAGATACAAATTTATCGAAAGGGGCTGAAGTAGCATCACTTTACATTGAATGGAATATACCTTTGAATTAAGGATTACACCTTTATAAAAAAGTCCTGGGATGTGTCTATTTCAAACACTGAGGCAAGGAGAAAAATAACACTATTGACTTTATACCTTGTTAGCTAGAGCTGAACTTGTAAATATTATTTAAACTTCAAAATTTATTCTACATTAGAATATGGCAACTTTCCTCAATCTAAGTTGAGTTCTTCTTCAAACATCAAATAGGCTGAAGTTTGAAATTGGAACAAAGTCATTAGTTCTCAAAAGATAAACATCTGTATTTTATCACATTAGGAAGTGTTAACATTGTAGTGTGGGCAATTGTGGTGCAGTAATAGTGTCCCTACCTGTGAGTCTGAAGGCTAAGCTTCAAGTCCCACCTGCTCCAGAAATCTGTAATAACAGTTGACGCCCCCCCTTGTTGTGCAGAGGTAGAGCCCCTACCTCTGGAGTGAGAGGCCTGGGTTCAAGTCCCATCTGCTCCAGAAGTGTACTAAAAGCTCTGGACAGATTGATTAGAAAAATGGGTTAAATAAAAAAAAAGTAAACATTGTAGTGAGGGCTCTAATGGTGTAGTGATGTCCTTACCTCTGAGCCAGTCAACCAAAGTTTAAGCCTCACCTTCTCAAGGGGTATGTAATAACTTCTCTGAGCAGAGATAGTAGGAACTGCAGATGCTGGAGAATCCGAGACAACAAGGTGCAGGGCTGGATGAACACAGCAGGCCAAGCAGCATCATAGGAGCAGAGAGGCTGACGTTTCGGGCCTAGACCCTTCATCAGAAAAGGTTTGGTTAGAAAAATATCCAAACATTGTAGTGGGGCCTTCTTGTGGCGTAGTGGTAGTGTACTTACCCTTGAACCAGGAGGCCCTCATTCAAGTCCCACCTGCTCCAGAGATGTGTAAAATATCTCTGATAAGGTTGGTCAGAAAAATAGGTTAAATAAAAAAAAATTGTAGTTGCCCTCTTGTGGCACAGTGATATTGTCCCTACTCCTGGATTCAAGTCCCACCTGCTCAAGAGGTGTGTAATGATATCTCTGAACAGGTTGATTAGAAAAATAGGTTCAATAAAAACAATTTTTAAAAAATTTAACATTGTAGTTGCCACTTCCCCCTCTCCCTTCCCCCCACCCACACTTATGGCTTGCATTGCCCATAATGGGATTTGCTTGTAAATATTTGTTTGGCTACATGAGTGATTACTGGTGGTGGTTAAAAGAAAAATTAATTTTTTTTAAATTACTGTAATTTTTGGTTGTAGGGAATCGCTCAGTTGTGCATAATAGCATTTCTGGGCATAGACATAAAAAATAACAGTGTAGTTCAGGGTCTCTTGTAGCACAGTGGTAGTGACCCTACCTCTGAACCAGGTAGCCCAGGTTCAAGTCCCATCTTCTCCAGAAATGTGTAATCACGTCTCTGAACATGTTGATTAGAAAATATCTAAATATTGAAGTTATCAGAGATGGTGATTTGGTGACTGAGGGGGAAACATTCTGGATATGAAATAAAATTGTAGTTTCTGACGTTTGAAGCATAGACAAAGGGTGACATAGTTAATAATCTTTCAGGAATCTATCAGAAATCAATCAATATTTAATATTTGTGGAGGCTGGACGTCTTAAACCGTAAAGAGGTGGACAAATCCCCAGGACCTAATCAGGTGTATCCTAGAACTCTGGGGAGCTAGGGAAGTGATTGTTGGGCTCTTTGCTGAGATATTTGTGTCACCGATAGCCGCAAATGAGGTGTCAGAAGACTGGAGATTGGCTAACGTTGAGCCCCTATTTAAGAAAAGTGGTAAGGAAAGGACAGGGAGCTATTGACCAGTGAGCCTGACATCGGTGGTGGACAAGTTGTTGGAGGGAATCCTGAGGGACAGGATTTACATGTATTTGGAAAGGCAAAAATTGATTAGGGATCGTCGAAATGGTTTTGTGCATGGGAAATCGTATCTCATGAACTTGATTGAGTTTTTTGAAGAAATAACAAAGAGCATTGATGAGGGCAAAGCGGTGGACGTGATCTACATGGACTTCAGTAAGGTGTTCAACAAGGTTACTCATGGCAGACTGGTTAGAAAGATCAGACCACATGAAATACAGGGAGAACTAGCTATTTGGATACAGAACTGGCTCGAAGGTAGAAGACAGAGGGTGATGGTGGTGGAGATAGTAGGAACTGCAGATGCTGGAGAATCTGAGACAACAGGGCGTAGAGCTGGATGAACACAGCAGGCCAAGCAGCATCATAGGAGCAGGAAGGCTGACGTTTCGGGCCTAGACCCTTTTTTCCAGACTGGAGGCCTGTGACCAGTGGTAAGCCACAAGGATTGCTGTTGGGTCCACTGCTATTTGTCATTTATATAAATGATTTGGCTGTGAACACCGGAGGTATGGTTAGTAGGTTTGCAGATGACACCAAAATTGGAGGTGTAGTGGACAGCGAAGAAGAGTACAATGGGATCTTGATCAGATGGGCCAATGGGCCGAGAAGTGGCAGGTGGAGTTTAATTTAGATAAATGTGAGGTGCTGCATTTTAGGAAGGCAAACTAAGGCAGGAATTATACACTTAATGGTAAGGTCCTGTGGAGCATTGTTGAACAAAGAGACCTTGGGGTGCAGGTTCATATTTCATTGAAAGTGGAGTCGCAGTTGATAGGATAACGAAGAACGTGTTTAGTATGCTTGCCTTTATTAGTCGGCACATTGAGCATAGGAGTTGGGAGGTCATGTTGCGGCTGTACATGGCCACTTTTGGAATACTGTGTTCAATTCTGGACTCCCTGCTTTAGGAAGGATGTTGTGAAACTTGAAAAGGTTCAGAAAAGATTTACAAGGATGTTGCCAGGGTTTCTGATGAAGGGTCTAGGCCCGAAACGTCAGCCTTCCTGCTCCCATGATGCTGCTTGGCCTGCTGTGTTCATCCAGCTCTACACCTTGTTGCCAGGGTTGGAGGGTTTGAGGTATAGGCCGAGACTGAATAGGCTGTGTCTATTTTCCCTGGAGTGTCGAAGGCTGAGGGGTGATCTTACAGAAGTTTATAAAATCATGAGGGGCATTGATAGCATGAATAGCCCAAGTCTTTTCCCCAGCGTGGGGGAGTCTAAAACTAGAGTGCATAGGTTTAAGGTGAGAGGAGAAAGACTTAAAAGGAATCTAAGAGACAACTTTTTCACGCAGTTGGTGGTGCATGTAATAGAATGAGGTGCCAGAGGAAGTGGTGGAGGCTGGTCCACCATGGGTATATGAATAGGAAGTGTTTAGAGAGATATGGGCCAAATGCTGGCAAATGGGACTAGGTTAATTTAGGATATCTGGCCGCCATGGGCGAGTTGAGCCAAAGAGTGTGTTTCTGTGCTGTACATCTCTATCTCTTCAAAATTTACAAACCGGGGAAACCTGAGACAAAATCATAGGCTGTTGGGTTATGCACTAATAATATTCCCTAATTAATGCAATACATTATCCAACACCTCACCATAAAAAACCTACAGAAAATTTAATGTGCCTTTAAATACTGGTTCAGTGGCTCCGAATCACCAATTGTATGAGGTTTTATAGGACAACCACACGAGCAAAATATTTATTTATCCATTTCCTGAGTAACTTGTGACATTCCAACCACAAACCCTTTAAAGACCACTACTTAGGTGTTTAACAGTTTGTACATTCTCTCCTTTTTGACACTATGCCTGCTCTCTTCTTGGTGCCTCACAAATATGTCAGGGTTTTACAGTTGGCATTGGACCTAAACGAGGCATATTAAAAGATTGTTATCAGAAATAGCTGTGTGATCTAGCCACCCTGTATTATAAATGGTTTTGGCCACATTAGGGGCAGGAGCAATTTGGTAATTGATGCTGTATTGTTTTTATCTATACCTATCATCTTGTTCCCAAGAGGCCCCCATAAATCAGTCGCCCCTGTCTTACTGCTTTGTGTCATATTTTTAATTTCAATGGAAAATGCAATTATATTCTTTCCATTGGAATGAATGGTGGTTTAAATAAAAAGTAGACACCACAGAATATCAAACATGAAATATCTTGACAACACTTAAATTCATAGATTCATACAGTGCAGAAAAGGCCCTTCAGCCTGTCATACCTGCACCAACATAACTACCACTAAAAGTGTACCAATCCCATTTCCCTGAATGCTTTGATATTTGAAGTACTGATCCAAGTATTTTTCAAAGAGTGCAAGGTTTCCAGCCCCCACCATCCTCCCAGGCAGTTTATTCCAGATTCCTGGCACCCGCTGAGTGAAAACGTTTTTCCCCAAATCCCCTCTGAATATCCTGCCCCTTACCCTAAAATTATGCCTCCTCATGATTGATGCTCAGCCTGGGAGACCAGTTACTCTCCATTTACCCTGTCCATACTTCTCATAATCTTATACACCTCAATCTATCTCCCTCAGTCTTCTCTGCTCTAAAGAAAACAATCCAAGCCTGTCTAGTCCCTCCTTATAGCTCAATTTCTCCATCCCAGGCAACGTCCTGATGAAACTCCTCTGTACCACCTCTAGTGCTATCACATCCTTCCTGTAGTGAGGTGACCAGAACTGCACTCAGTACTCCAGTTGTAGTCTGGCCAGGTCTCTCTACAACTTCAACATTACCTCCTTGCCTTTATATTTCATGCCACGACTGATGAAAGCAAGTGTCATATGACATATAACTGTTAGAAGTGAGAAAAAAGCAATTATTTCCTCAGGGTTGCTTCTGATTTTCTGTAGAAGCTGAAAATTTCGTGTCAATTGACAACACTTCAAATGGATGTAGCCCCTTTCACGAGGTGAAATGTTCCAAGACTTTTGTGTTATCAATTAACATTTGACTCCAAGCCACATTGGAGATATTAGGGCATGTGACCAAAGCTTGACTATAGCAATAGCATTCTAAGACGTACTTTAAAAGATCAGAGAGGAATTAGGAGCCAGGGAGTTTTAGAGAAGCATTTTCTGAGTTGAGGACTTGGACAGTTAAAGGCATGGTCACCAAATGGTAGATTAAATTAAATTAGGGATTAAGCAAGAGGCAAGAATTGAAGGAGTGCTGAGATCAGTCAGGAATGGTGGAATTTATAAAGACAGAGAGTCAGTGTATTTTAAAATAAGGATGAGAATTTTATTATATGAGTCATTGCAGGAACAGGAGCAAGTACATGTGAAATAGTTGAACAGGACTTCTGCAAGTTAGCATATAGGCAACAGAGTTGTGGCTGAACCCAAACTTGAGGAATGTGGAAGGAGAACAATGGAATAATCAAGCTTAAAGCTAACAAAGACAGAGATTCAGTAGCACATTGGGTTTGAAGTGGAAGTAGGTGTTTTTTGAGATGTTGCGGGTATGGTGTTGACAGCTCAGCATGGAGTCAATAGCCCCAATGATGAGATTTAGCATTAAGCAGACTCAATGGTGAAACATCTCCGTAATTAATCTCCAGTTAATCTCAAGATATATCTATAAATGAGAATTAGCCTGACAAAAAAATCAATTTTACATGTGGTCTTGCTGTACCAGCAGACTATGTCTCTTGTTACTCGTTCCTCCCATTATAAAATAAAATGCAATGTGACTTTGAGGACCACTACGGGTAGTCCTTTTGTATGTGTCATTATTTCTCTAAAAACACACAAGTAATCATTTTAATATTCAGAAGACTTGTCAACATTTTTGTTCTTTTGGTTTCTAGGGTATACTGTTTGTAACTCCAGACTGTGTACGACTACCTACAGACTTGATTCATTTATGGCTTCATGAATCATCCAGAGTCTATGCTGACAAACTCATGGAAGAAAAAGATATTGAACATTTCTACAAAATCCTTGTGGATACTGCAAAGAAATACTTTGAGGTACACTGTAATGCTGTGACATTTGAATATAGATTTTTATGATTGCTTCATAAGCTTTCTCCTAAGTCCAGAATGGTATCCAAACATTAGCATCAGTGTACAAGACCATATTCCCATGGCCTTAAACTGTGTGTTTGTTTTAATAAATAAATTGTTAGCAATCCTAAAACAACAACCCATTTTGCAAGGGTCTTTCAGTTCTTAGGCTGCAGACCTAGTGTAGAGCAGGCAACCTAAGTTCCATTTGTTGGTGGTAAGGGATGTTTTAATAAGGTAATATAAACACACCAATTAGGAGCAGAAGTAGGTCATTTGGCCTCTCAAGCTTGCTCTGCTGTTCAATAACATTTAAAGAAATCTGGCATTGAAGTTTAACAGAACAATTTGCATTGAAAAGAGTGCTAGGTATCTTGGATTTTGAAGGGTGAAAAGGTTTGCCTGCCTGGAAATGGGAAAATTCATCTTGGCTTCAGAAATTGGGAGAACTCTGGATAAGGTGGGAAAACCACTATTCTGAGTTTAAAATGGTGGGAAAACTCTGAAAATGTGGGAAAACACAATAAGCAGTACAAAGGACAGTTTGCTGTGAACAAACTGAATTAAAAAGCTTTAAAGCAGTAATTTACCACAGAACAACCAATTTAAAGCCTTATGGAATAATTCAGGATAATATAACAGAAATAGAGAGATTCACTGATTTCTGAATGTCCAGCTTATGAACACTTATGCTCATGAACATGATCCCATACAGAAGTGTAATTTTTAAACACCCAACATACAAACATTTCTGGTACTGAATAGCTGCTTTACATTGTCCTGCATTACATTCCAACTTGCAAACAAATGAATTTGAGAACGGACTCCAGAAGAGAACTCGTTTGCAACCCAGGGACTACCTGTAGAGTTAAAACAACTGACAAATAATGGAAATGCTGCAACATTGTTTACAAAGTCTAACAAACTCTGCAGTCATTCAATTTAAAACAGCGCCAGTGAATTCAAGAATACAAACTTTAAAAAATAATTGCAATTGTAAAGCTGTACTAAAATTATATAATTATAAAATTATACAGATTTAAAAATGCCTCACAGCAGTGAGACTAATCAGTACGTTGAGAAGAAATGGAAAAAGGTATAAATCTTCCTACCAGATTAAACGTAAAAGCAAGACCATATAGAGTTCAAAATTGGACTATATTGAGTCCACATTTTGTAAATTCAGGACTGCCTCAAAATTAAACATAAAGCATGAAGCTGAGCAAATGAATACACCACAGGAAGTGCTTATTTAATGTTGTGCTATTTAGCCTTGTTCCATTTTAACATTGATCCATTATTGAGGCCTGAAATCTTGTTCAATGTTGCAATATTCCATCACATACCTAACTTGTGCCTTGTAGATGATGAACAGACTTTGGTGAGTCAGGAGCTGAGTTACTTGCTGCAGGATTCCTAGCCTCTGACCTGACCTTACAGCCACTGTATTTATATGGCTAGTTCAGTTTCTGGTCAATGGTAACTTCCAAGATGTTGACAGTGGGGAATTCGGTGATGATAATACTATTTAATGTCAAAGGATGGTAGTTTGATTCTCTCTTGTTGTAAATGGTCAATACCACTTTAGTGTAGAATGAAGTGCAGTTATTCACTGCAAAAAGAAAAATGCAAAGTATTCCTTAATGGTGAGAAACTGGGAAGTATTGATGTAGAAAGGGATCTGGGATTCAGATCCAAATAAATCCATGATCAATACCATAGGCACTCAACAAGTATGATCGTAAATTGAAACTAAATGACAATTTAATAAATCTTGAAGCTGTAGCTGCTCAGCTAAAATATTTGCCCTTTGTTTTTACTGTTTTGATTCCACATTCAGAAATGTAAAACAGAAACAAATCGCTCGAGAAAGCAGATTTAATGTTTCAGGTCTGATGATTCTCCATCTCGAGTCCTGATGAAGCGTAGAGCCCTGGTAGCGCTGCTACTTGACAACTGGCCATTTAAGATACTTTAGCCTTGTTCTGGTCCCTTCTTCCCCCACAACCAAACTCAGCTTTCTTCAAGGGATCCCTGTCATTAAGTCATCCTCTCTATGATTGGCAATGACACTGCTGAGCTGCCAGTGCAATCAGCACTCTGATTGCACTGGCAACTCATGGAGCTTTATTTGGATGGCAGCACCAGCAGTGACTTATTGGCTGCCGCTTAGAATATGCCATCCAGGATATTTTCATGTACTAAAAAAGGGTCTCCTCTGACCTTGAATCCCATCGGACTTCGAGGTCAGGAGAAAATTCAACCATTGATCTTTGCTTTCAATTTAAAGAAAGATATAAATGCAAGTAAATCATTTAATATCTCCTCTACTAGCTGGGCACATATCTAACTTGATTAAATTTAATCAAAGTTTAAAGCTAATGATTAAACAAAAGAGTGTTACATGAATGGTACTAATTTATGTTGTCATGTCTGACTGTAGGTTATCGATGAACATATTTTTACCCAGAAGCCATTGATTTACTGCCACTTTGCCCAAGGTGTTGGAGAGCCCAGATATTTGCCTGTAACCAATTGGAAAAAGCTACATAGAATTCTTACAGATGCCCTGGAACATTACAATGAACTGCATGCAGTGATGAGCCTTGTCCTATTTAAAGAAGCAATGCAACACATGTAAGTACAATTAACTACAGGAAGATCTTTTTTCACCAGTTTTATCATTATCATATTCTTCCACTTCCCCTCATCCCCAATCTGATATATCTTGTCCCTCAGTGCTATTCCAACTAAAATGCTGATCGCCAAACTTTCTTTCCTGTTTCCCATGTTAGTTGATACGCTAAACATTTTATTCTCTTCAGATACTGTCCTTCTGTTAATGGTTATGGGTGACTATAATGTACAACTAAACTGAAAATCAAATTTGCAGTAATAGCCTGGATGATGAGTTCGTAGAATGCTTTCAAGATTGTTTCTAGAGCATGCTGCTGTAAGAAACTATCATACAGCATGTTACATTAGATTTGGTACAGTGTAATTAACATCCTTAGAGTAAATGCACCCCTAGGGAGCAGCGACCAAATATAATAGAATTTTGAAATTTGAAAGGGAGAAGATTGGACTTAGACTAATATTTGAAACTTAAGGGCAATCATTAGGGTGATAAAAGGTGGGCCAGCAGGAGTGAACTGATATATTAGGGTAGGGAATATATCCATAGAGAAGCAGTTGTAGACATTTAATGGGATATTTCAGAATATACAGAATTAGTATATTACAACTGTAAAGAAAAAAATCTAAAAGTAGGACCCACCATCTAACTAAAGAAGTTATGAAAAGCACCAGAACAACTAGTACAACTAGACAAAGATAAGTGGCTGGGCAGATGATTGCTCAGAATATAAAGAATGAACAAAAGGTTCATCACGAGGGAGAACCTCCAAATATGAGCAGAAGCTAGCTAGGAATGTGAAAATGGATAGCAGGAGATTCTGCAGATAAATAAAAAAGAAAACAGTAAGTCAAGTGAGGTATGGTCTTCTAGAGAGTGAGAATTGGGAGTGAAGAGTAGGAAGTAAGGAAATGGCAGTTGGAGTGAGTGAATATTTTAATTCCTTCCTCCCAATAGAAGAGACAAAACCATTCCAGTGAGAGCTTTAAATCAGGAAGTGGAAAGCAGAAAGGAACCTTATGAAATTTCAGTCACCAGGGAAGCGGTACTAAGCAATCTGATGGAACTGTAGGCTGACAGTTCTCTGGGTTCTGATGGACCATGTCTTTGCCATGTTGTATGTGTTTTTCTCTGCCTCAGAAGTGAGGACTTGATGGCTTTTGGCAACCAGCCTGACTCCTTGGAAGATCCCACCTGCAAGACAAGTCCCATGTGTTGATCCCTGCCTCCAACTTGAATTCCAATATCAGAATAAGGGCTCACATGTTTCGAACTAGATGAGAAATTTCTTGATACAAAAGCTTGGGAATCTTCGGAATTTTCCACCCAAGAGAGTTGTGGATGTTCAGATTTGAATATATTCAGGACAAGGGTTTATAGATTTTTAGATATTAAGGGAAGTAAGGAATGTAAGAATACTGCAAAAAGATGATGTTGTCGAACAGCCATGATTTTAATAAATGGTGGAGCTAGTTTAAAGTATCAAATATCAAAAATTTAAAGTATCTTACTTCAGCTCCTGAGTTTTTTTAATATTCTTGTGTTATGCATGAGTCACTTTTCGCAAAAGAACGCATTGAATTTTTTCCTGCTGAGCGAATGTTGTTCAGATAGAATGCTGATTGAATTGTCTTCTCTGTACTGGGGCAATGGCATTGGGTTTGGAGGTAGCAGTGCAGGAGGCCGAAGTCATTTATGGGCATCCTTCCAGCAGTGATCATTGTGACAGCAATGCTATGACGTTGACGTAGAAAAGTTTCCAGGATTTGGTGCAGATTTTGGCAGCAGTATAGATGTTGAGACAGTCGTGCAATTGGTGATCATTGTGGTGACAGGCAATTTTTGACCATCTGTCCTTGGCTTGCATATGGATATAGATCATTTTGAAGACAATCCACTAGCAGAAACCGATTAGCACTACTTTAGGGACTATACAAGTCACTGTCAAAAGTAACAGCCATAACTGAGGCACAAGCACCTAAAATGTAAACCAACTACGATCATTTTTGATTTTGCTAAATTGCTATGGCAAGGTTATCTTAAACATTGCAACCATTTTCAACTCCTGCGCCATTTATTATGCCAAAACAAGAATTTGAAATGGGAAGATCAATGAGAAAGATCCTTTACATTAGCCAAAGAAGCTTTATTAAAATCAGAAGTACTGACCCATATGACCCAAACTTAACATTGCAGCTAGCATCATTTTATAGAGTGGCATCAGTCATTTCTTGCGTCTTATCAATTGGCGAAGAGAAGCCGATAGTTTTTGCATAAAATTTGTTCTGAACAAGGGTCACTGGATTTAAAACATTAACTCTGCTTTCTCTCCACAGATGGTGCCAGACTTGCTGAGTTTCTGCCGCACTTTATGTTTTTGTTTCGGATCTTGAGCATTTGTTTTATTTTAGGGCCACAACACTGACAGTTGCCTTGTCAACTAGACCAGGCTCCAGGCGCCATCATCCACCTCAACCTTTGTGAGAAAGGTCAAGGTGAGAAATGAGGCAACCTTTTTTTTTTGGTACAGCCACCATTTGTCCTAATCTAGAGTATGAAAATCTGACTCCTGGAATAACAATCCACAGCAAAAAAAAAGGTCAGTAATTAAAAAAGGCCCTGAAGATGTCACGTTGTCAATCTTACACCTATGGCCTGTGGGGCAGAGAGTTTGTTGTCTTTACCCAGTCTTTCCAAAGTGGTAAACCCAAATCAATGTAGTGGACTTTTAACTGCATATGCAGTTCAAGATGGAGACCTACCATTGCCACCATCTTCAGACATGGGCAAAAATGCCAACCATGCAGTAATAATCAGATCCCAAAAGTAAACATAATTAAAAGGAACAATTCTAATGTGCAGGGTGTAGAGCTGGATGAGCGCAGCAGGCCAAGCAGGAGTCTTCCTGCTCCTCTGATGCTGCTTGGCCTGCTGTGTTCATCCAGCTCTACACCTTGTTATCTCAGATTCTCCAGCATCTGCAGTTCCTGCTATCTCTGAAACAATTCTAATGTGCATACAGTTTCATTTAGATTTGAGATGAATTTACCTGCTTTTGGAGTTAATGTTTTCCAACTATACTTTTCAATTTGCGTGGTATTTGTAGCCAATTCCATAAAATTGATACGTGGGAAACATTAAAATGCGTCTTAATCTACCAACGTTTTATGAGTTGATGTAATGCATTAACCAACAGCATTTAATGGAATTTGTTTTTTCTGGTAACAAATTTTCATTCCTGCTTACCAGGGAAAAGTATTTTAATTTGAGCTGATTTGTTACAAATGTTTTTATTGAGATCATGTTTAATTGACGTAGCTGTCGAATAAGTCGCATTTTGGAGGCTCCACGAGGCAATGCCCTTTTAGTTGGTGTTGGAGGAAGTGGCAAACAAAGCTTGTGTCGTTTGGCTGCATTTCTCAGTTCACTGGAAGTGTTTCAGATTATACTGCGGAAGAACTATGGCATTCCTGATCTCAGGGTAAGAGTTCTGCTTCTTCAAAAAAGTAACTACATTTTGACCTAAGAGTTCCTTACTACTTCTTTTTATCTTAATGATTACACAGAGTGACATTGCTGCTTTATATATTAAAGTTGGAGTGAAGAACATTGGCACAGTATTCCTTCATACAGATGCTCAAATACCAGATGAACGATTCCTTGTTCTAATTAATGACATGTTGGCTTCAGGTAATAGATCATTTTAATTCAAATGTAAGTAATTCAGTTTGATACTTTCTCGTAATAGCAGCACAGATTTCTGCATAAAGAGTTTGACAGGAATATTCATCCTTAGAACAGTTCAGACATATGATATTTAAAATGAGTAGAGGTCATTGGATTACTGAATAGACTTCATCAGTAGAGGTGAGGGGTCGACCGTAAAGACTAGTTATATAACATCCATTACCTCACCCTTTGTGACCCTTTTGAAGCATGCAAGCCAAACATAATTTGCTGCAATCAATAAATGCTGAATGCATTCAAGAAAGATCTTTACACTATTTAGCATGGCTAATGTGCAAACCTCTTTCCAAGATATTTCAGAGACAAGTTTTGAGAGTTCATCATCTTGGATACTTTTTGTAGGTGATTATATTTTAAGTATAGCTTTTAAAAGGAAAAGTAGTTCAGCTATTTTCATAGTGAAATGTGCATCTTGAATCAGAGGTCTTTTCTGTAACAGGTTTTCTTTTGATGTTACTTTATTCTGCATTAATTTATATGCATTTGCTGTATCTGGATTCAAATTGAACTGGTGTTAAATATGGTGCATTTGTTCACTTCAGTGCAAATATCGTTCCATTACATAGAACTAGTACGATAACATTCTTTGAATTAAAAGAAAAAAATTATGTGTACCTCAAAACCCAAACTATTTTAAAACCATTTCAAGTGCATCTCTTAATCAGGTTTTCTAAAATCTAAAATAAACTCCTGACTGGCTGAACAACACTATTAATCATATTGAGAACCCTTTTATGGCATCGGTATGCATAGTGATAAAATATTTTCAAATGTTTCTTTGACATCAAGGACAACTACTCTCACCTTTCATCTGACTAACAGCTCAGGCATGTATGACTTGATCAGAGCTGCAACGGGGTATAACTTGAGTTATACTACACCTCTGTATTACTGATAGATGTTCTTTTTAACAGTAATGTAAAAGTGACAATATAATTCCAGACCCTAACTGATTCTAGAGTGGAGACATTGTGGGATCTGACTGGAAGAGGCAGTCTTGAGTTTGTCATCATAGCTTCCATACACTGTCAAAATGGGTTTATAAGTTGTTCAGAAGGATCATTCTGTTCATTGTATATTTGTATATTTATTATGGTTAATTAAATGTCGGTGTTGGGTTGTAACTCATGATTCATAATCACCATTAGTATCTTCAGACTAAGACTTGGCTAAGGGGTTAGGAGGTCCATGCTTCTAATGTGCAAGTCTGGAAATAAACATAAAAAGAAATAATGACTGGCTCTGTTTCCATTCTTCATCAAGTGGCTTTATGAAAATTTAAAATGGCCACAAAGAGTATCTGCCCAGATGAAGGTTGAAAGCTAGGAAAATTGGCCTGCTCTGCTCTTCAATAGGATCATGGCTGGACTGATTGTGGCCTCAACTCTATGCTCCCATCTACTTTCAACCAGCTTTGACTTCCTTGTTGGTTAAGAATCGATTTATTTCTGCCTTAAAAAAAATTGAGTGATCATGCCATTGGGAAAACAGAGTTGCCAAACTCATGGCCACTTGCATTAATATAGATTCCAGATAATGCTAGTTTTAGGGGAGTAATGATGCTGAATGCTAATAGTTTTGCAGTCATTACTGTGCTTAGTTCTATCTCTTCCTTAATTAATGCATTCACTTTCCTCTGCAAAGTGCTGTTGTGTTCCAATTCTGTGTCATGACATCCAAAATATCTGTCCATTTCTCACAAGAATGTCTCTTAAAATTGTTCATCAGACTTTTGATCTTGTTATAACGAACGTTGGAATACACGATCACTGTCTAGTCCCCTCCTGTCTACTGGTCACAATGTAAAATTAAATGCTTTACCCAATTATTGAGAGAGCCAATTATATATTTTATAGTAGATTTAGAATAAAAAGGTCCATAAAGGTTTCTTTACTGAACAACAAAATTATTGATTTATTGTAAAATAAAAATTATTCAGCAAAGCTGCAAAGTTGATTAATGCATAGTTGGAAATATGAAGGTATAAAAATTTACCCTTTTAAATAACACACACATCTATTTTTTAAAAAGGAAAATATTCTCTGCAATAATTAATTTTTGAAGGGAAAACAGCTAAGGTACAAAATGTTCAATATACTTTCACTTGGGTTTCTGGTATATGTAGACAGGTGTCATGAAATACCGGCTGTTGTCAGTGCGACCTATGCAGATGCAGTTGGTTCAGAACTCCTGGAGAATTCAGAGGCTTTTCAAGCGAACATCTAAATTAGCAAGTTAAATGTTCTCATTTTAAGATAAAGCATTTTGCCGAGTGCGTGTCATTGCACCCAGTCCACCATGGGTCAGAGAGACTTCACTATTGTAACCTTCTTATTAATTATGCATTTAAGCTCTATGGTATCCTACTGGTGGAATCACACAGCAGAGGTGGAAATTCGCCACTGTCGAGACCTTATGGCATTCATGCAGCTGGGACCATATTTGTGGCTCAGCTGGTCACAATTCATGATGCTGTAAGTCAGGAATTTCCCCTTAGTTTGTCGTGTTCCACCATTATCACAGAAGACATGGCCCAAAAGCAAAGCTAACCCCACCCCACTTCCCTTGCTTTATGAACAGAAATCTGGAGGTGCTGGTGGGTGGGATGATAGAGAAGAAGGCAGTTCTTTTTTTCCCTGCTGACTGCCAAACGAGGCTATTCCACCAATCCCAGATACTAGCTTGATTCGGTGCTGCATCTGGGTTAAAAGGAGTGCCCAGCAGTGCAGCAAGAAGGTCAATGACCACCTGCATTCTGCAAGGGTAAATGCTACCATCCTCTCTCTGCCACCTCACACTCACAGAGCCATCACTGGCTCTAACTCTGTCATAGCTCAGATCAAGTCTCATGGGCCACAATTCTCATTAGTGTACTCATCTTAATAGCTCTGACACTTGTCCTCCCAAATTATGAACCCCTCCAGTCGTTTCCATTTAGTACTCATTCACCAGGGACACCTCACTATATCCTCTCCATCACTACTACCCACTCTTCCAACCTGACAATGCAAATTCCCAACATGTAAACAGTGGGTACCTGGCAGCTGAGTCCCTTTTAAATCTTTCCACTCTCACCTTAAACCTGTGCCCTCTAGTTTTGGTCTCCCCCAATCCAGGGAAAAGATCTTGTCTATTTATCCGATCCATGACCCTCATGATTCTATTATGTCACCCCTCAGTCTCTGACGCTCCAGGGAAAATGGTCCCAACCTATTCTGCTCACCCTATAGCTCAAACCCTCTAACCCTGGCAACATCCTTGTAAATCTTTTCTGAATCCTTTCAAGTTTCACAACATCCTTCCTATTGCAGGGAGTCCAGAATTGAACACAGTATTCCAATAGTGGCCTAAACAATGTCCTGTACAGCCGCAAAATGACCTCCCAACTCATGTAATCAATGCACAGACTAATAAAGACAAGCATACCGAACGCCGCCTTCATTGCACTGTCTATCTGCAATTCCACTTTCAGGGGACTATGAAACTGCACTCCAAGGTTCAGCAACACTCCCCAGGACCTTACCGTTAAGTGTATAAGTTCTGCCCTGATTTACCTTTCCAAAATGTAGCACCTCACATTTATCATTGGGAATAATACGTAGGAACTTGGAAATAACCTCCACAGATATAAAGGCCACCACTAAATAAAGAAACAAGTAATATGGAAGTAATTATGTCCATTTTAATGAAGGTGTCTGTTTCCTTGGTATGTGTTACCATGAAAATCAATGAATCTGGAAACTTGGAGTTTCCTTGAGCTCAGGAAGAGCTGTTTGACACTCTTCATGCATTGAATTTACTTCCCTCTTGTGGACTGAGGTTTCACAGTCTTATTGCCTGTCTTCTTACCATACTTTTTTAATTTTCTTCAATTTTTTAATTTCCATAATTAATTAAGAATCAATCACTGTTTGTTAAAAGTGTTCTATATTTAATGACTTTTTGCACAAAAAGTTTGTTCTAATATTCTGGCTATGTTTCTAGAGCTTATCTTAAGCTTATAGTCTTCAGAACTCTGATCATTGTACTGATGAAGAATAACTGGACTCCAAACGTTAACTCTGATTTCTTCCCACAGATGCTGCCAGACTTGTTGAGTTTCTCCAGCTATTTATGTTTTTGTTTCAAGTAGCCTACTCCTTCTGCTATTTCTTCTGTGCTTGTATGTCCAGCTAAATACAAGTGTCAGCCACATTTTCTTGAGTAATTTCATAATATTGTTAACCTGCTGTAAAAGACAGGTAAATGCCATTTTTTCAAGTTGCTTGCCAGTAGAATTGTATGCAGGTGTTTGGGTTCCCCCAGACCTTATTTACTCTTACAGGAAGCCACTTTGGAATATCCCTGCAGAAAAACTTGATGTACAGGTTCATAATCACAAGCGGATAATGCAACAGATTTGCACCTAGTACTTTTTAATGAGTGTAGAGTGGGATACAAAAGGAACTGGAACTTCTAGTGAAACAAGTCCATGAGTAATGATGATGCTAATGTTAAGGGTTTTAAGTTCTGTTCTGTTTATAGATGTGCCAGTGCAAGCCTTGAGGGAATAGAGATCTCGGGCATTTTAAACAGTTATCCTTTCAATTCATACATGTCAGTCTAAAGATTGGAATAATAAGGAACATTAGAAGACCTAACCACTGGTGTGAATAGGTAAGCAACTGCTTAAAATTGCTTCAGAGTACTTAGCACCTTGTTGTCATAAAGGGTGCAGTGGTAGTGTTCCTACCTCTGGGCCAGGAGGTCAGGTTCAAGCCCCCAGCTGCTCCACACTTGTGTTTAATGTGCCTGAACAGGTTGATTAAAATATCAAGCAGGTCGTTGCTGCTGAGCTCCTCTGTTGCCCACCATGTTGAACAGGTTTCTAGATTGACTGAGCCAGCCACAAGTAGATCCAAGTCAATTGATCTCACCGAACCATTGAAATAGCATATAAAGTG